TCACAACGATGGTATGAATTGAAAATGCCCTTTTAATCATTTTTATTTTTTTAAGATATTAAAGTTAGAAGTACGAAAGTAGAGGATGTTGTCGAGTTTATATTAGTCTTTAACATATTTTTTTTTTAAATAAATATTGTAAACTTTAATGATATTCAAGGATAAAATTTTAAAAGGATTTTTCCAAAAATTTGTCCGTTTTAATTCTATAAACTGTTATCTTACATTTGATACTGTTCTAATAAATTGCACTGAATTTCTAAAATTATTTTTTGAAATACTCATGTTTTTCAAGTTTCAAACTCCTTTTACAAAATCCCAGCATCAGAGAGAAAAACTAAGAAATCAGGGTTACTATATTTGGCCCATGGTTTCGCGAATATATTGATTTATGGGTGTGTAAAATTGACCGTCGCACAGTATAATGTATAATATACAACAATTTTTTTTCTTTGGGTTTCTGTTCTCATGCTTAAATTCTCATTCCAAACATTGAAAAACACTTGAATTTTCATTTTTAGTTCTTAAAGTTTGCTTTTGTCTGATTGACGCCGATAAGTATAAGAAATACTAAAAATTTTCAGTTTTAGACATTAATTTCTTGTTATTTTACATTTATATGTTATTATTTAAAGTCAAATTAAATTAAAATTAGTGATTTTTCCAGAAAAATTGCTCTAGTTTTAACAAAAGCAAACTTTGATCCCGGGATTAACATCCCTAATACATATGCAAATCGATTTGAAATTTGAACATTTTTCTTAGACTCTCCCGCGCCTTATTTCATAAGAAATTCGTGCTTTATGAGAAAAAAGTGCAAAAATCCCTTCAGATTAAAAAGTTGAAATTTTGATGAAAATTTATTGAATTTTCCTAAATTTTGTATAAAGATTAAAAAATAAACTAGGTTTAAAGAGCTTTAGAAATTGATGTTTTCATACATTTTTCAACTTATAAACCTTTTTTAAAGCTACTTTATTTTTTATGAATAAGGCTATTAAGCTGTGATTTATATGGATTTGGTTTAAGATTGGACGGTGTTTTTATAGAAAAAATAACAAAACAAATTTACTTCGAAAAACATTATGTTTATTAAAAAAAAAATCAGCACGTAGTCATTTGTTTGAGTCATTGTATGTACGCTTGTGGTCAGCTGATTAAGTTAAGTGACTGGTCAAAATTTAACTTAACTTAATTAGCTGACCAGAAGTGTATGTCTTATGTGGACGATTATGCTGTATATCCACATTTTTTTCTAAGCTCAAAGAGCCGCATTTGCCAAATGTTTATCTATGTAAGTAATGAAGCAAATGGATAATTTGGTGTTTGAGCGATTTCTTCAGTTTTGTAAAGAGGATATACATACATAGTCGTATGGGGCTAAATCGGTAGAAAATGGTGCATAGGGTATGAACGTCTGCAGTCAAACATGGCCACTGTGGACCAGGAAAATTCAAAATCTTATTTGATTTGCTTGAAATATATCGCACGGCAGCTCTTAGGATCGCTCATTACGAATCGGACATTAAATTTAAAAAATTCAAAATGGCCGAACCAGTTTGGCTGAAGATATTCAAGCGGACTAGCTTGAAACTTATTGCTAAAGGGTTGTTGGGATCCGTGATTATATATGATAATATATATATATATATATATCATATATTAAAAATATAAGGAATTTTAAATAAAATGACGCAAAAACGATTTTGATCCTAAACTTATTCTAGATTATCAGTAAATCGGTAAGATTAACAATTCTCTAAGCACAGTAAAATTTGCAATTTAAGTATTTTTTGTCACCTACAAGCTTGTTTTAGAAATATCGTACACTTAAAAATTACATGAGCATATAAAGCGTCCTCTGTTGTCTGAATATTTGAACCAGTAAAACTTTTTTCGCATTATTAAATTTCTGATTTCTTATCTTCAAGGTGCATGAATGTTAAGGCCATACAACTTTGGCGTTGCGTTGGCGCTGGCGTCGCTTTGACAGCAGCGCGAATAACGCCCGTGCTTGCTACAATGAACGCTTAGCAGAGAATACTTTGGTCACTAAATTTACATACCAGCGACAAATAGATCAAAATTTTAAATCAATAATTGCAATAACAACAATATTTCTTGTCCGCATTTGATTAAAAAATAAAATTAAATCACATAATTTTAATTATTTGGAACAGCTGACGAACGACGCGCGCGAAAAGTTGAGAGTTGGCCATCTTTCTGCGATGTGTTGGCGTTGGCGTTGCCCAACTATGGTTATGTGGAGACTTTCATATAAATGCATGTATTTATAGTCAGCTGTCGAAGCGACGCCAACGCCAACGCAACACCAAAATTGTATGTTAACGGGCCTTTAGTGTTTGGCCGAGCCTCTCCTCCGATTTGTGGCGTGGACCTTGATGCTGTCACACGAAGGGAACTCCGAACGGCGATTGTATTTTTAAGATAAGCTGTTTTTCATGGCACTCGGAGGTTTGCCATTGCCTGCCGAGAGGCGACCGCTGTTAATAAAAACACTTTTTTCTAAATATTTTTCGCGATGTTGTTTTGACCTTAGCTTGAACCCAGGCCTTGCGGAGAGGAAGCGCGCACTGCTTACCACTACACTACAGCGGCCGCCCACATTTAAAGATACTCCACGGAAGATTCCAAAATTCACTGACTTATTAAACTATCTATCTATATTATATGTACATATTTATATGTTTTGTAATTAAGGTCTTTGTAATGACATCTCCATATCTTATCGATCTTACAGCTTCTTCGAATTGAGTTCGTTGACAAAAGCTCAACTAAGTACTTCCGTCATCTAGTTCTTGATGCTTTTAAATATCGCAAGGAACGAAATATTCGCAGGCCTGACATGATCAACTTGCTGATGGAGGCCCGCGGTCTTTTTCCTACTGACTCGCCCAAGGCACATAATCGTGAATGGACCGACACGGAAATGGTGGCACAATGCTTCATTTTCTTTTTAGGCGGTTTTGACACTATGTCGACACTGATTTGCTTCGCAGCATATGAATTAATGGCGAATCCGGATGTACAAGAAAAACTTTTTGAAGAGGTTGAAGAAATTAATAAACGACGGGAAGGTAAAAGATTGACGTATGAAGATTTACATGCAATGAAATATTTGGAAATGGTTGTAAATGAGACAATGCGAAAATGGCCACCCATTATATTGCTCAATCGAATATGTACAAAAGATTTTCTATTCGAAGCCAACGGCGAACGTAAGGAAATAAAGAAAGACGAAATTATTATGATACCGGTGTCAGGTATTCATCGCGATCCGCAGTACTATCCAAATCCAGATAATTTTGATCCAGAACGCTTTAGTGCTGAGAATAAAGACAAAATCAAACCATTTACTTTTATACCGTTTGGAGAGGGACCGCGTAATTGTATTGGTGAGTATTGAAATTCGAGGTTTGTTTGAAGTTACGGTTATTTTATTTAATTTTTCGTATTTAGCTTCACGTTTCGCTCCGCTAGAAGCAAAGGCGATATTATATTATTTAGTGCGAGATTTTCGCATCACCGCTGCCAAAAGGACGATATTACCAATCGAATTGGAGAAGAAAGGGTTAAGTCTAGCGCCAATAAATGGTTTCTGGTTGAAACTTATCGCGCGGAATAAAATATAAGTTGAAATTGTAAACTTTCATGGAAGCTTATCGACAAGACAAATTGAAGAAAAAGTTATTGGAATAGATATCCAGGGGAATACATCCAGCAGCAACTCGCAACAATTCTCTCTTAAATCGCGTTGGTTTTTTCGCAATTATTATTATTATTTTTTTTTTTTGAAAAAATGGCGAACATACTTTGTATAGAAAGAAATCTGATTAGAAAGTTGCAAGTTGTTGTGTCGTTCAGTGAGTGGCCACCTCAATAGCATTTCATATGTTTTAATTTTAAGCCGCTCATTGCGTGGCATCGGCCAAGGCATGGTGGCTCTTCAAATAAAAAAACAATCATCTAATACCCAAAATCGATACATATACATTTTGCTCCCGCTTGGAGCCGGTTAAGGCCTCTATGGAGACTAAAAAAATTAAAACTATTTTTTTTTTTCATCTAATACCCAAAATCTATGCTCCTATAGTCGAATATATTATTACATATAAATTTTGATCCCGATCGGAGTCAGTTAAGGCGTGTCGCACAGGGTAATTTGAACTTTGCCTCCTGTGCGACACGCCTTTACTGACTCCGATCGGGACCAAAATTTATATGTGGTACCTTCGGCTATATGTATAGCATCGACGTAGCAAATCTGATGTAAAAATGTGCTTCATACCTTTCAGAACGAGCCTAATATACATATACATAGGTACATGAGGATTCGAGTTTTTGTCCTCCTGAAGGAAAATTTATTCAGCCTTATCATGAGTTTAATTTTCCCCGAACCGGTTCACTTTTCACTTTTGGTTCCATGTATTTAATATGGGCGGATGAAAAATTTTCGGGTGAATTTTTTTCGGCTGAAACTTAGAATAAAGTAGCTGTTAGACGTGGCAAGTGCAAGTCCTTTTTAAAAGTCTGTCAAACTCCACAATTTCCAAAAGTGCTTGCAGAAGCAGTTACACCTTGCAATTAAAGTGACTTTCAAAAGCAGTTTTTATTTCCAAAAATCAAACTTTCGACACTACTTTTTGTCTGCTTACACAGTCAATGCAGAAAATTCCACTTTCACCTGTGTTACCAGAAATTTTTATGCTCAACAATTTTACTGACCTGAAAAATTCGTTAAAAATGCTAAAATGCACACAAAACAAACAAAAAATCTCGATCTAAGTAAATTGTTCATATCAGGATAATACATTAATTACAAGTATTGTATTAAATGTGATGCAACATTTTTAAAATCTTATACAAATCCGGACAAAAACGGGGTCACACGGCAACACTAGATTGGTTTGACAGCACTTGCAGCAAAAAAGAAATAGGCTAGTGCAGCACGAGCAAGTTAAAATTATTTCTCGAAAGCGATTTGTGTAATTTCAGTTACACCTTGCAATTTTTAATTCAAAAGTGATTTCTGCAAATCTGCAAAAAGGACATTTTGGCTGTTTACACGGGAAAGTAGATTTTCGATGACAGCAAAATGCGTAGAAAAAGCACTTGCATTGACACGTTTAACCGGACCTTAAGGCTGATTATGTTTGAAATGCAAATGCAGATACCAAAGTCAGTGTGACCGCGGGCTTAAGAAAAATTGCAGCAGAGGAGAGACTTCTCTGTATCAATATGTATTACTCTTTGTATTTTAGGTATCAAAGTATCAATGGTATAAAACCAATATTTTTTATGAAAAACGAATTTCCAAAACAATTTGACATTTATTGATTGCAAAAAAGGTGCACGCATCAGTTTTACTTGGTACTAGTATTATAATAATAACGAAAATGTCTTACATGAATCAGTTCAACTGGGTGTTAGTATAATAAAAAGAGCAAATATTTCTTATGTATATATAACCTTATTTTTAGTTTAGATACTTTTTGTACTTTTAGAACTTAGAATTAAAATTGTTTAATAATTTTTAAGGCATTTCGAAATCACTATGCATTCCACCATTGGCGAAGTGAAGCGACTTGTTCTATTTGTTGTGATCAAATTCAGCTCTGAGAAAATGCGCTCTGCAGCGGCAGAGTAGTGCGGATAACATAACAAGTTTAAAATAAAAGTTAATTCGAAATATAAAAAAGTTATTTAAAGCATTTTATAGCTTGCTTATTCCCCCCACTTCACTTAAATGTACTGTTGATATATACCTCTCTGCGGCACAATTGTATATACTTCCTTAATAGGTATGGAAATGATTATCTGGGTTACAAACGTCTAGATCAGCTGGGTTACTTGGCCTACAGTTTGGTTTGACAAAAAAAAGACAATATAAGTTTATAGTTACTTTCAAAATTGTTCTATAACTTATGCAATCTGTATGATTCACTTGGAAATTCTATGTTCATTAGATTGACAATATCCTAAATATTTGACAAAAACAAAAAAATAATAAATTTTTTATGTTGCGGAATAAATTTTTTCGGCAATAGCTCGCGCTTGGTTCACACCGTCATCAAAACAAGATATGAAGAATAATTGCAACGCGCTTCACTGGGACAGTATAGGATCAACAGCTTTCTTCCGCGACAACCAGCGAACGTTTAGCACTCGAAAAATGTTATGATTTTTAACAACAACGTAGTAGCTTCGAAACTCGTCAAATTCATCCACCCTTTTAGCACTATGTGCGAAGAAATTGTAAACATCTCTGGCAAGTTTTTCGTATTCTACGGGAATTTTTTTACACGATTGGACATGTATCAAAATTTAAAAAGAAGTGTCCCTCCAAAATTCATCGAAATATGTTAACTTTTGATCCACTTGGATCAAAGCGGCCACACTGACCAGATAGCAGCTCATGGTGAAACGAATACAGAAGGTGGCGCTGATTGTGATACCGCTAACACTCTCTTGAATATTTTGATAGAAATATGACGTCATAGGAGAATTTGTGTATTGCAATCAGGGCATCCAACTCATTTTTGAGAATTCGACTATAAAATTCCCCGATTTTGCCTGAAATTTCGTAAAATTCCCCACTCATAGATATCTCCTTATTAAAAAAAAACCTTGTTTGTAACTCCCGGTGCATTTATGAAATCTGCTGATTTAAACGCTGAATTTCTTTATTCATTCTGAACGTTTGGAATAAACTTTTTTGTTTACTTATTCTTTAGAACGTTCCTGATGATATGTTTACGTACATTTCAAACGTATTCTGTTTATTCCGGCTGTGAAATGGGATTATCCGGAATGTATAAAGAAACGCAGCCAAATTGTTTAACGCACAGCAAGGTATTTCGCTGCAGCTCCGCCCCACAGCTGCTTTCGCGACGCTCCTTACGCGAAGGACATTGAGGCACCTTAAAAAAAATAGTGGTATCTGCATTATACTTAACACCCCATAAAAAACAACGCTTCAGGTGTTCCATTTTTAACATATGTATACATTAAGATTTAGTAACCGGAAATTTTTATTACCAAATTTTTTTACCAGATCTTGTTACCGCGATTCTAGTTACGTTGGTAATGCAGTTAAAATATTCAGCCATTCAGCTGTGAAGAATTGTGGAAGCTCTGGCATTGCATATTTCACGGGGCAATATTTTGTTACCAGCGTATGACATGGCAACAAAATTTATCGGTTATAAGAGGGCACAGAATGCGAAAAGGGTTTAAAAGTCGACAAGAACTTTATTTACAAAATGTATTATCAGCGCAAAATAGGCCTGTAACTTCTTCCTGTCCGAAACAGCCCGAACTTTTTCTCCGGGTAAAAATGGATAAAGCGACAAAGTGCATATCAGCTACTTGGTGCTTTTAAGGAATATGTATTTTCAATCTTTATATTCTTAAAATCAAATTTGTGAAACAAAAATTCACTTTCCAAGCGTTTGCATTTAAGTGACAAAAACAAAAACAACGCGAATAAGCTGTTTCTCAAATTCTGGGCACGAAATGTGGTTTTTTGCGTTCCCGCACTTCTGGATTATGTTCCATTTTTGAGAGCAAACTTATCGCTTATTCTCTAATAACCGTATGCGGTCCGGATTGTTAGGGAAAGAACCTATTACTACAAAAATTCAAATGGTAATGAAAATCTATTGGCAACACTGAGTGAAACTTCCAATTCTCCATCACTCAACATCAAATGTTCAGTGTTGCCAGAAAACAATTTCATTTGGAGCTAAATCGGTCGAAAAAATAGCTAAATAATACTAATAGTAGCTATGAAAAGATATTTTTTTAAAGTTAAGCATTTAATGACATTAAGTTTATTTTACATTTTCCTCAATAAAATAAAAATAACGAATTTTATTAATTTAAGTGCTGAAAAAACCTTTCAAAACGAAAATAAGGTGCATATATTTCGAACTCAATGCTACGGCACTTACATATATGTACGCATATACTTATATAAACTAGACGATTAACTAAAAATACTTTACAGACTGTTAAAATATGCAATTTCAGATATTTGAATTGACCATAAAAACTCCAGTTACTAATAAATTTTTCGCAAAATATTTCTAAAAAGTTTTATTTCTTTCTCTCCTTATGGTAAAATAAATAAGGTAAAAACAAAAACCGCGCGTTCAGAACAAGGATTTTCTTGTAATTAATTTTTGAATTCTTTAACATAGAACCAAGATGGTGGAGTTTGTAGTTTCCCGTGAATGCAAATGCATGTTTTCCACTGCATTTCGAATTTTATAATTTTTGCAACGCTTAAGTTCTGGCTTTCCTTTTCTGCCATGGCCGGCTGAGAGAGAATACACGGTCGGAGCTTATTGGAGCTCGAATTACTGTCCGGTATAGTTCACGACTGAAAGTTCTATCATTCTTGGGTATAGTTTATGTGCTCCCGCGCACGCGGTAGAAATTAATCGACTTACTTGCCGCGTCATTTGCATAGGAATGGAACTTTTCTAAGTTTTACACGAAATAGAATAACATGAAGCTATCGATTATAGCCTGAGATCACCAAAGTCAAATGAATTTTAGTCAACACTTGTACAATGAAATCATAGATTTTTAATTTTAATATATTACCAAGTACAACTAAAACTTTCTGGAGCTAAAAAGGTGCTAGATAAATTTGAAAAGAGCTAGGAGCTGATTTTCAGAGCTAGACAGAAAAATAGAGCTTAATCAAGCTCCAAAAGCGCAAAATGGCAACACTGCAAATGTTGTGTAAATGCTCACCATGACCTTCAGATATGGTGAGTAGGAATCAGCTGATTGCTAGATGTTCAATTTGCTGGAAAGTCAAAGATGACCACTGGAAATGGTTTTTCTTTCAATATTAATACCATGTGTACATTTATGTTTTGTTTCAATTTCTTTTTAAATTCCGGTATCAAGGCGAAACTACGTAAGCTGTTTGCGAAAATTCCTNCATCTATATTTTTTATTAAAAAAAGAAAGCAAAATAGGTAATTATATAATAAAGATATATTCAGTCTGTACCAGTACTCTAGAAAAATCGGATACAAAATTGTGTAGTTATTACTAATCGCTCTAGTGTAAAATTTTACTAAGGGGAGTTAACAGTTTTTACCGCGGCGGCGACGAAATATAAAGTTGAATCGTTTCTTATGGTTCTGTATATTGCATACGGCTTCGTGCATGTAATTTCATAAACTGGGTTCGTTTTATACAATACAAAATCTGTGTAAAGTCTAATAAGTGTTCAGCATACTTACGAATTATCGTCCATAAAATCCACAATTGTATGTAAAACAAAATGTTTCTTATTTAAAAATTAAATTTATTTATTAAGCAATAACGCATAAAGTTAAATGCCAGTGGCATAGCAAGTACTACTTTGTGTCTTGGATTTAAACTCAAAAGACCTTTGGCATTAGATACATAACTCTGCATTGAAGTATTTTCTACACGCAAATTTTTTCCTTCGAAATCATACAAAGCGCGAAAGCCAGTCTTGTCAAAGCGATCATTTGAATAAAAAGATACGCGGAAAAAACGTCCGTCGGAGCGTACCTCAAATTTATCTCGCTTGCCGCAGTATTTTCCATATTTACGGTCGGTGCTCATGAAATTTGAAAATTCTACATAATCACTAGCTGTCAAATATTCGCAGCTAAAACGAAATTTAAAATTTATATGTAAATGAAAAAATTTTGATACAAATGAAGATAAATAACTTACGTTCCAATACCCTCAACATCGAAGAAAGTGAATCGTATAATGACCCTTTCGTCAGCTTTTCCATAAAAGTAGTAATGACATATCATATTCTGTGGATAGTACCCAGGAAAATTCGGTGAACCAAACCACCCTGATATTCGATCTGTACTATTGTATGTAAAGGTACAATTGTCATCAATTTGCTGGCCTGTTGATATGCCGAAATCTGAAAAACAAATCGATTGGAGCACCCGTAATATGGGAAATACTTAAAATTAAATGAATTAAATATTCATATTTGGACTTTATAGGTATTTCTCTGAAATACTCTTCGGCCTAACGTACCAATGTATTGATCAGTAGTATACGTACTTAATTATCGAGGCCTATGTGGATGTACCTACTAATATGGCCTAAAGTAGTGTTAAACGGATTCCTAAAATGATAAGTATCTTCACATAAGGGACTTCACCAAAACTTCACAAACTGTTGATAAGCTTGATAAAATGATAAATTTATCATCAAATTTTGTATGGGAATCTATTTAACCAAAGTTTATCACTGTATCAAACGATCTTGGTGGTTAAATGTATAAATTTCAGCAAAATTCAACCATGACAGGTTACCAGGTGGTCGTTTTTGCTACGCACACAAAACGAGCAAATGAACACAATGGACGCGATAAGAATGAAAGCGTTACTAGCTTTATAAGTTAAACAATATACAATTTTATGCAATTATTTACNGTTAAAAATGGCAACGTCTTGATTATAAAAAGGCAATAAGATGACCATCGCGCTTATTTGCAAATAGTACCACTAATCAATACTTATTTGCGTGGTTAGTTATTTGCAAATAAAAAATTAACTCAGCGTTTATGTGGCAAAATTTACCATTTTGCAAATTGTTATTTGCAAATAATACGCGCGCATAAACGTAGTAGAAGTCATGTAAGGTTATAGCGGCTTTCTTATTTACCGCCCTATTCCCAAAACACTGACAAAATTCATCGTATGACTACTGTCACAATTATTGCGCCTAAAACACAATATGTATAAACATTGAGGTTGTTTCGCCGTTGTCGCGTACTCAGTAGGTCATAACAACAACACTGACAATTGTCACCATACGAGAGCTTAAAATAAATTTGCGGCATAGTATTAGGCGCAGTAGTAAAGCCAATAGTCAGCCGCTGAGATTTGTCAGTGTTGTGTGAATAGGGCGGTTAATTAAAGAAATAATAATTTTTATTTCAATTCAAAGTAGGTTACTTTATCTTGTTTTTTTATTAATATTTAAAAATTTTAAGCCATTTTTAATGAAACATGGTGTGGAAAAATTTTAATGTATGCAGATGATGTAAAACTTTATAAATCGTACGTTTCAATTGAAGAAAGGTCTTTACTACAATCAGACTTAAACAGCATGGCTTACTGGTGTAAAGTAAATCNGCTCATGAAATTTGAAAATTCTACATAATCACTAGCTGTCAAATATTCGCAGCTAAAACGAAATTTAAAATTTATATGTAAATGAAAAAATTTTGATACAAATGAAGATAAATAACTTACGTTCCAATACCCTCAACATCGAAGAAAGTGAATCGTATAATGACCCTTTCGTCAGCTTTTCCATAAAAGTAGTAATGACATATCATATTCTGTGGATAGTACCCAGGAAAATTCGGTGAACCAAACCACCCTGATATTCGATCTGTACTATTGTATGTAAAGGTACAATTGTCATCAATTTGCTGGCCTGTTGATATGCCGAAATCTGAAAAACAAATCGATTGGAGCACCCGTAATATGGGAAATACTTAAAATTAAATGAATTAAATATTCATATTTGGACTTTATAGGTATTTCTCTGAAATACTCTTCGGCCTAACGTACCAATGTATTGATCAGTAGTATACGTACTTAATTATCGAGGCCTATGTGGATGTACCTACTAATATGGCCTAAAGTAGTGTTAAACGGATTCCTAAAATGATAAGTATCTTCACATAAGGGACTTCACCAAAACTTCACAAACTGTTGATAAGCTTGATAAAATGATAAATTTATCATCAAATTTTGTATGGGAATCTATTTAACCAAAGTTTATCACTGTATCAAACGATCTTGGTGGTTAAATGTATAAATTTCAGCAAAATTCAACCATGACAGGTTACCAGGTGGTCGTTTTTGCTACGCACACAAAACGAGCAAATGAACACAATGGACGCGATAAGAATGAAAGCGTTACTAGCTTTATAAGTTAAACAATATACAATTTTATGCAATTATTTACCGAGGTGCGTTCAAGAATGCGGATAAACTGGGCATGAATTGCGTATGACGACAATCGTCTGAACGATATCGTTTCGANTTTATAGGTATTTCTCTGAAATACTCTTCGGCCTAACGTACCAATGTATTGATCAGTAGTATACGTACTTAATTATCGAGGCCTATGTGGATGTACCTACTAATATGGCCTAAAGTAGTGTTAAACGGATTCCTAAAATGATAAGTATCTTCACATAAGGGACTTCACCAAAACTTCACAAACTGTTGATAAGCTTGATAAAATGATAAATTTATCATCAAATTTTGTATGGGAATCTATTTAACCAAAGTTTATCACTGTATCAAACGATCTTGGTGGTTAAATGTATAAATTTCAGCAAAATTCAACCATGACAGGTTACCAGGTGGTCGTTTTTGCTACGCACACAAAACGAGCAAATGAACACAATGGACGCGATAAGAATGAAAGCGTTACTAGCTTTATAAGTTAAACAATATACAATTTTATGCAATTATTTACCGAGGTGCGTTCAAGAATGCGGATAAACTGGGCATGAATTGCGTATGACAACAATCGTCTGAACGATATCGTTTCGAGATTGGGTTGCTCCATGAAAACATAAATTGTTTGATCGTTTGTGCGATATCGTCAACTCGATTCCAGTTATGCTTCACGTAACAGTAATAGTAACATGTAACAACAACATAAATGCATAAATCAGTGTTTTTACGAGGTCGTTTTGTCAGTGTCGTTTGAACGACAATCGTTTCTAATTTACGTGATTCATGCCCTGATATATTTAAGCAGTTTATCCCTTTATCACTTTAGATGAAGGCCTCTATAATTGTTTGATTTATAATGCGTTTTAAATCTATATAATTTTTTAATAATTTTGGTGATATGATTTTATCTTTACCTTTTTTGGCTTTTGGGACAACAAAAGTGGATAACCGCAAATCATACATAAAATAAATACATATATATATATTCACACCGTTTTCGTTACTTGGCAGTATGGTAAGTGGCTGTTCGGCGAACGTATTTTCTTAATATTTCTAAATCAGGTTAGAAGGCGTAAAATAATCGATCTTTTTTGAATTACTCTCACAGAGGGCAAAATAAAAGAACAAAATATTAAACTTGAAAAAATTCGAAGCTTGATGAATTGCTAATCTGCGGAGAGCTGTATGCCGATTGAAAGTCTTTGGCGCTTTGATCCTTGGCACATTCAGCACGCTGGAGCTAGCTGGTTTAAACGGATGGCGTTTTCTTTTCTTCAAAAAATTTTGTCTTCTCATTTCCCTCTCATTAAGATTTGTGCATTGAGGGCACTCAAAAGGCAACATTTTTCGGTAGAATAGAAAACGCCATAAGAATAGGCAATCAAATGTCAGGCAGATGTTCAATATAAAGGCAGTTTACGTGATCTAAGTTTAAACTGGCCCTAAGAAAAACAAAATGTGCGTTAAGCTACCAAGTACCGAAGTAACGAGATCGGAGTGAATACCCCGTATATAAGTGATACATACCATGATGAAAGCATATAAAGTGTGCCAGATAGCAATGACATTCTGGTATTCTTATTTGATAATTTATTATCAGGAAATTTTCTTTGATTTGACTTTCACGTTAACCCCTTTGAGTGAGAACTTATGTATTTTTTGGATTTGAATAAAAAACTAAAGGAAAAATGCCAAGGAATTTATGCTGTTTTCAGTCCAAAAACGAAGGGTTAAGGCCAGATTTGAAAAAAGCGAACAACAGAAATGAAAGAAAAAAATAATAACAATTTTGCTTTCAAATATGACGACGTACACTTTATCGGGCATGTTCTGAAATTCGAGACTTTGAAATCGACTCGAATTGCCAAATAGTTTTTAATTATATCTGATGAAAAGAGTGAATATTCTAATTGAAAACCGTAAAAGAAGAAACAGCGATATGAAATAAATCATTTTAATGCGAGAGTTGTAAATTTTTTGGTTAAAAACCATCGAAAAAATTATCGAAATCGAGTCGATTTAAAATTTTCGAATTTCAGAACATGTCTGTATATCATTTCACTACGATACATACATGTAGGTATTTATAAAAGTAACGCACTCTTAACAAACTTGTACTCTGCTTTGAAACCGTAATAATTGATTTTTGAACCAGTCGGCGGATAGCGCCCAACAAATTGTAATAAAATCTTGGGTCCATTCGACATGATTGGCTTTGGTAGGAATGCGCCGCAAAATGTTTCAGTAGGCTCATATTTCCCTCGTACTAGGGTTAGCAATTGCAATGCATCATTTGGCTTGCATTCCGTTGAATTTTTTGTTTCTGCTGGTATATGAAAATCCAGAAATTTGATCTAGAAAGTAAAACATTTATTTCATATACATACATATAAATATTTTTTTAATTTCAAAGCTTCACATACCTGCACTCTTTCATCGACGCCGCCGTAAAACTCAAATCGGCACTGTACTCTCGATGCCGACAACACTGGAACGATGTTGACATTTGGAACTGTTGGAAACAGCTGAGCCGTGTCAAAGCGGCCTGATTTGTTTACGCGCGAGTCGAATATTTGCTTGCAATTTTCTGCGGTGAGAAAGGAAAATATGTGTTTATTTCATTTGTTTTAATGGTTTTAATGTTTAATTTGATTTGTTCAAGAAAGAAAATTAGCACAGTGAGACAAACAGCTCGACACTTTGTCATTGAAATGTTTAAAAATCAAGACAACCGGCTAGATACTTTTCGTCGCGTTTGTGATGAAATTGGGGAAGAGCGCAGCTATAACAACAAAGCAGAATTGCTGAAAGAGTTCTTTCAAAAAGGTGCTGATCGTAAAGGTTTTAAAGGCGATGTGTTGCTTTGGGTACAAATGTTAATACCCGGTGCCAGTCACCGGGTGTACAACCTGCAAAACAAGCAAATGGTCAAGTTGTTCTCAAGGATATTCTCTTCTGATATTCAAGACATGCAGCGGGATTTGGAACAAGGTAGGTTATTTATTGAACAATATTAGCTTTAAATAAGTATTTCCTTGCAGATGGCGACGTTTCCGAAATATTGTCTAAGTATTTTGAGACTTCACATAAAATAAAACCGCAAGAAGAAAGTTCGCTCTATCTACAAGAAGTTGAAGAATTTCTGATAAAATTGGAACAGCGTACCAAAGAAGATGAACAAACAGATTTGTTGCGACAATTGTGCAAGCAAGCAACTGCTTTAGATCTGAGAATGGTGCGCTGAAAACTTAAAAAAATAATCCAACTTTCTTAAAATGTTTTGAATTTGTTTAATTAATAGGTGATACGTCTAATCAAGCAAGATTTGCGTATAAATGCAGGAGCGCGGCATATACTTGATGCATTTGGACCACTTGCCTATCCCGCCTACCAATCTTCCCGGGACTTGGCTGCTGTTGTGAAGCAATTTGCTTCCACAGGAAAGCAGAAACAGTTGGTGTCGTCGCCTCTTAAAGTCACAAAAGTAAATGTGTAAACAAAATAAATCTCGTTTGCCTAATATTAATATGTAGTAAAATAAATTGTCCAACTAGGTTACAGGTAAAATTGGTCAGGTGCAAGTAATGACGCCCATTTCCCCTATGTTAGCTAACGCCTGTAAATCGGTTGAAGAAGCATTCAAGAAATGCCCAAGCGGTTTGTACACTGAAATCAAATATGATGGGGAGCGCGTACAGATACACAAACGAGGGAACGAATTCAAGTAAATTTTGATTTTAATCAAATGCATAATGTATTATATATTCTTTATCCTTCAGATTTTTTAGTCGTAATCTAAAACCCGTCATGGATCATAAAATCAAACGTTTCCACGAACTTATCCCAAAGGTGAATTCTCACAACTTTGCTCTCGATTTTGGCAAGATTCGAAGTGCGTAGTCAAAGTTAATCTAATAGCCTATTTCCTCCAAAGGCTTAACTGCAGTTAAGAGCTCAGATAAGTACCAAATATTTTAACATGAGGCAATTGGCAATGTTTATTTCTTACTTTTGCTTACTTTGCTTGTACTTAATGTGACCAATTACCTCGTTGGAATGATAATCTCGTTTTTCCAGTGGGCATAAACTGCATTTAAGGCTTGGTGGAAATGCCCTCTAAGACAATCATGCCTATTACGGTATCCGAAGGATGCTATCCGCAAGGATCTAATCAGATTCGCACTGTCGGAATAAGCGAGTGCGAAGGATTAGATTCTTGTGAATGGTATCTGTCGGACCGGAATAGTCTGTTTCCGAGGGATGCCATTCTCATGAATCTAATCCTTCTCATTCGCTTGTTATGACAGTGCGAATCGGATTAGATCCGTGCGGAATAAATTGTTCATGAATATATTGTTCATGTTGACACCTACCTAGTTATCAGTTTATCGGATTAAAAAATTAATAATTTCTATTGTATTTTATCGTTGTAAACTGAATAAAAAATATAGCCACACAATTAATCTAATGAAATTTCAGGCTTTTCCAGGCGGTGGCGATATGATTTTAGATTCAGAAATAATATTGGTGGATACAGAAACGGGGAGCTTGCTTCCATTTGGTACACTAGGTGCCCATAAAAAGAAAGAGTTTGCACATGCGGAAGTGTGTATTTTCACGTTTGACTGTTTGTTGTATAAGGGAGAAGATTTGACGAACACGTATGTAATTTGTATTTTCGATTACAAATACTTAAACTGAACATAATTTATGCTTTCTATTTAGCCCATTTCATAAACGCCGAAAAATATTGGAAGAACATATTGAGCCTATCAAATATTGTGTTGAACTTTCAGAAAGTAAATTTCTGAAAACAAAAAACGAACTATCTATTATGACTGCCAAGGTAATAAGTAGGAAATACAAATATTGTATTTGCAAGATTTATTAAAATTACTTAACGTTTGCATCTGCATTTTCAAGGTCTTGAAGGCGAATCTCGAGGGTGTGGTTCTTAAGAATCCAAATGGCATTTACCAACCTGGCAAGCGTGGTTGGCTGAAGGTGAAAAAAGACTACCTCTTCGGGGGCAAAATGGCAGACTCTGCAGATTTGGTTGTATTGGGTGCTTGGTATGGTTCTGGCAAGAAAGGCGGTATATTAAGCATTTTCTTAATGGGTTGTTACGATAGTACTGATAGGCTCTGGAAGACTGTAACAAAAGTTCATTCTGGCCTGGACGATTCAGAAAACGAAAGAGTCCACGAAGAGCTTATGACCCTGATGGAACGTGCCGATCCGAATAGAGTACCCTCGTGGCTGCTTTGCAAAAGAGCTCTGGTGCCAGATTATATCGCAAAAATACCCAATAAAATGCCTGTTTGGGAAATAACAGGAGCCGAATTTACTAAATCGGAAGCGCACACAGCTGCGGGAATTTCAATACGATTTCCTCGTATAACGAGATTACGTGCTGATAAATCTGCAGATCATGCTAACGATTTAAAATATCTACAAAAACTATATGATGCTTCTAAAAAGGATGTTAACGTCGATTTATTACTGTCCAACTGTGACGATGAAGATGGAGGAGGAAAACCTAAGATTGAAGAAATTGAATCTAAAATAAACCTTACGCCAAAGAAAAAATCCAAGAGCGGAAATGACGATGATGACATACCAGGAAGCAGCGGTAATATGAAAAGGAAGAGTATTGAGATGGAAAAAGAGTTTTGTAATAGTAGCAAGAAAAGAAAAACGCAGAGCCCAAATATGAATGGAGAAAAATCGAAAACTATAGTAAAGGTGGAAGGAAAACAGACGAAATTAGATTTCAGTTCTCACGTCAAGGGGGAAAACAAATTTAGTGATTTTTTGAAGAAGGAATCGCCAGCCGGTGATTGTAGTACCGATTTGCCCAAAAAGAGCGATATTTTTAAAAATTTAATAGCATATTTCGAAGATAAAATTAAAGATGATAAACTGAAATCATCCTTCGTTTCAAATGGAGGTGTAGTAACCGAAAATTCCCAAAATGCAAACATAGCATTTTATTCAACTACAAAGCTTGATAAAGATTTGGGTGAAATCAGGCAAGCATAATTACTTAATATCAATAGTAATAATTGATATTATTGCCGTTTTAATTATTTCAGGAATTGTTACAAAAATGGCACACGGCATTTGAGCGTTGACTGGCTTTGCGATTCACTGCGGGAAGGAGAATGTAAAGATTATCCAATCTATGCGGTTGTATTGTGTTAGTAATATATAAGGTTAAAATTTTAAACAATTTGTAAAATTTCATAATTTGAATTTACATTACAATTGTACATATTTATCCATGTTTATCCAAAATATTAATTGTAATTACTCAAAAAATTAAAGCTTTGCACCGCCAAGCACAACAACGTTCATATTTTAAAATACATACATACAACATAACATATATTTTTTTCATGGTAATATTTTCTATCTTTTGAAAAGCTTAGGATTGTTTACAAACACATAAAAAACAGTTCATAAGAAATTGTAATCAGTCGTGACATAGATGTGGGCGAACACAAAAGCGTTTAATATTTTCTGATAAAAAAATTTTGGGTTAGTTTGTACAGCAAAATGTCGTTTGAGCTTTTTATGCTTGGTGCAGTTTTTATTTATGTGGTCTATCGTTGGGCTACAGCAAATTTTCACTTCTCCGAAAAGCGTCAAATACCCTACGATGAACCTTTCCCGGTGTTTGGTTTGTTATTAGGTGTGTATTACAATACTAAAAATATTTTTTTTCCTACGGCTAGTTTTAAATTTAACGCCAGTTTTGTATATTGGCTGTAGTCAATACTTTCGCACGGTGTCTTTCTTTCTTCGAATAGCACAATACCCCAGTATTTTGTTATTGTTCAGTAAATGACTATAAGTGACCATCAAAACAAGGTGAAAGAATGGTATTTCAGGGATAGTAGCCGAGTTCTAGCCTAAATTTTAGCCCAAGTGGAAGGTTCTATCACCTTTTGTGTTTCTGTTAGGTTTCTCAAATATTGCAAAAAACCCGTTTTTCTCAAAATCTAAATCAGTGTTGCCCTTTGTTATACACGAAACCATAAGTTTTACTAACGAAACTAACCTTCTCAATTACATCGGCAACCTATTTTAAAATTCTTTACCTCTATACTCTTGCCACCAGCAGAGGTACCCGTGCGTCTGATATTGTGATACCTTCAAATTTCATGTGCCTGATGAATTAATTTAATTTTGTCTTTTTAAATACGTGACAGTTCAGAAATAGAGCCCTTTTTAACCCATTTCATTTGATACTAATATTTTTAACATTTGCTTTAACTTATTAAATAATTTGAGTTTTCCTTTTTAAACAGGTGGCAACTCTCTTTAATATTCTAAATATTCAAACTAAGGATATCTTGCCACCTTCGTTTCACGTCATATTTGAATATATCATTTAGATTTTGTTTACTTTAATTAAATTCTAATTTTAAAACATATGGCAACCATCTTCAAAATATTTTAAAACCAAAACTTTGTTAAACCTTTTTCGACTTATACACATATTGCGATACAAGTTTTAATTGTCCATATAATTCCCTTAATTCAAGTTGAATTTAATTTCTAAAACATATGGCAACCCGCTTAAATAAAGTATTTTTAACCCATGTCAATTTATACCCATTCTTTAATAATTCATTTGACTTTTTAAATAATTTGAGTTTAGCTTTTTACACAGGTGGAAACCTTATTTTATGTTATAAATGCTCAAACCAAATATCTTTTAATACTCCATAGCTCGGCGCTAATATTTCAATATTTCATATAATTTAATGCTACAGATGGCAATCCTATTGTATTGTGATACATATTTTACTTATCTAATACTCTCAGGTGGCAAGCCTTCTACATGCAGTTTAAAAATAAATTCTCGTTAAAGCAATTTTGATTTATACTCATATGGAAGTAATTTCAAGCTATTGCTTATATTGAATCTAACTTTGTAACAAGGTGGCAACTCTCTGCAAAATATTCTCAAACCACAACCTCTTTCGTCTGACATTCATATCAGGATATACATTTCAATTTTTCTGCCTTTATTTATGTCGAACTTGCGTTTTGAAACAGGTGGCAACCCTCCTACATATAATAAAGAAATAAAGCCTCATAGTGTAATTATTGATTCAACTTAAAAATAATTTGAATTTATTTTTTTTTATCAGGCGGAAATTCTTTTTGAAAAAATAGGAAGTTATTGCACATCCAGGGGTCAAGCCCTTTAATTTGATCCACCACTTTGTAAAATCGAACGAACGGTACAGATGTGATATGATTAAAAAGGTTTCGCGTATTATCATACTAATATATGTAGATTAGTTACTAAAAGAAAAACAGATCCACATTACTTCAACAAGTACTTTCCAGATTGTTTAGCCAGTTTGAACTCGGCGAACGTTCTTGAGTTTTTGTGCTATATAAAACGCACTCAGCGCGGGGCAGCCACTAACCTTACTTAAGTACATAGATTTAGCATGCAGGAATTTCTAACAGGTAAACCTGAAAACGTCCAATTATCTTTTCCTGTTTTTCGGCTTTGATCATCATTTATTGCAAAAACTTCAATGCAAGTTGTCAAATGTGTGGTTTTATTCTAAACAAACATATCGTTACTACAGCGTGGAAAGAGCGTATCTCACATCGTAGCTGAAATGCAATTTTTTATTGCATAAAATGATGTGGGGACTTATAATTTGATAAAATGCAATATAAATTATAATTTATAATAAACAACGAGTAAATTTTGGATTTTTAATTAGTTACGATTCTTTATATTTCAGCGACGATGTGAGTTAAGCCCTTTCCATACTATAGAATGATATGTATGTACATTAGAGTGGTCCAAAAAAAATAAAGTCGGAGTTTTAATGCCCGTACACCCTAGGATTGATCTATATCGTAAAAAATATACCCCTATTTTTTTATTTTGAAATCCAAAAATATTTAGGGAGTTCTCAAAGCGCTCAAAGTTTTCCATGTATTTTATATGGAGGAAGAACAATTTTTCGTAGAAATGGTATAAAACTCTTGAAAATCAATATTTTTCGACCGGAAAACTGTGGTTCTCTGCAGGAGACTTCCAGTATTAATATCCAATTGTTTATTTAACCATTTTTTATGATTAAAGATTTTTTATTGGTCCCCC